ATTATTTTTTCTAAATTTAATTAAATACATTTTTTTATTTTATTGTATTTTATTTTATATTTTGTTATTTTATTTTAAGCGAAAGTTGGGGAACCCAAACTATCCCTTTAAGTATTTTGCCATAAGTTTATAATTATTATAAAAAATAAATAAATAAAAAAAAATCACAAAACTGCCTCACAGCTTTTTAATATTTAAAAAACTTTTGTCTGCCAAATCAAAGTCATTTTGCGCATCCAAAAATTGGTTCAACCAACATGCAGGCAAAAATCTTAAAACAGGAAATGATATCATAGAAAGGACCCCCGCAGAACATTAGAAAAGTGTGTTAAGGTTTATAGCTTAGGCAAGATTAGTTTGGGTTATAGAACGCTATTAATTAATTAATTAATCATAATATTTATTCATGATATTTAGCTTGGAAAAATATTGCAAACACAAGGTGTAAGCATTTTAAACTTATTTTTTTCTTCATCATGGACACTCCAAATTGTCATCATATATAGTCCAAAGTGAATGTCAATCAATAGCAATAATGATATCCACCATGTTTATGTATGTTTTAGGACATTTGTGGTCTTCATTAGTTCTCTGTAACTTTCTAGCCTCTCCAGTGGCAGTGACCCAGGTATCCGCAGTAACCAGCGACGCTGCAGGCTCCTCCTACTCCATCAGTGGAATTCTGGGAATCAGCTCACCTGCCGATGCAAGCAAGCGGAAGAGAGATGAAAGTAAGTCTATATGTGTGCTTTGTTTTTGTGAACTGAAAAGGCCTAGGTTTTGAGTGTTTAATTCTCCACCAAACTCACTTTAAACTTAGCCTTAAGTATTATTAATACGGTTGCATCACAGAGCGAGTTTATTACATGCAGGACATTTAGTAACTAATGAGACATTCTGTCTTCATCATGGACACTCCAAATTGTCATCATATATAGTCCAAAGTGAATGTCAATCAATAGCAATAATGATATCCACCATGTTCATGTATGTTTTAGGACATTTGTGGTCTTCATTAGCTCTCTGTAACTTTCTAGCCTCTCCAGTGGCAGTGACCCAGGTATCCGCAGTAACCAGCGACGCTGCAGGCTCCTCCTACTCCATCAGTGGAATTCTGGGAATCAGCTCACCTGCCGATGCAAGCAAGCGGAAGAGAGATGAAAGTAAGTCTATATGTGTGCTTTGTTTTTGTGAACTGAAAAGGCCTAGGTTTTGAGTGTTTAATTCTCCACCAAACTCACTTTAAACTTAGCCTTAAGTATTATTAATACGGTTGCATCACAGAGCGAGTTTATTACATGCAGGACATTTAGTAACTAATGAGACATTCTGTCTACAAGCAATTACAGAACAAAAAAATCAATTACATCCTATATTCAGCCTTCTTCTTCCTTCTTTCTTTCATTCCTATGCACAACATCATTTCAATGTACACACACATGCACACAAGCACAGATGGAAGTTGCTGAACATTGACAGATGCATCAGAGCAGGAGGGGGATTGGACACCGCTGGCACGTCTTAGATAAACATCTCTATCCAGGAGAGGCACAGCGTGTGCATGTGGAAGTGTACGCGTGTGTGTTTGCACACATGTGTCTATTAAAAAGCCATTGCTTGGCAGACCACTGCAGGACATGAGGGAACTCCAGATGTCACCCACACACGCACATACTCACACACACAATATGACTTATAAAACACCAGACATCAATAATAGAAGATTCCTTCTGTTTGCTGCCCAGGGTTAGATAAAACTAATATTGAAACTAAAATTAAAACCATAAAAAAAAAGAAAAGTTTTGTTACTAAAACTTGGTACTAAAATAACTGAAACTGAAAAAATAAATTATATATATATATACACACACACACACACATATACAGTATACTATATATTTTACACCAGTAAAAAATAAATACAGAAAATGTCTTCATATTAATACGATATGTTGTGCCCTATTTTTATGGATTTTTTTTACAGTGTATAATTTTAGCAATAATATATGTAGTTATATGTAAATATAAAGAATTTAAGTTTTGACAGCTATACACTGTCAAAAAAACAAACAAAACAAAAACGTGAATTTATGGTTAAAAAACAAAAAGCAAAAAAACAAAAACAGCAGCTGCGGTTGCTAGAACCTTACTGTAAAATGGTACCAACATTTTAGGGTTAAATGGACTGAACTTACATTTACAGTAAAAACTGTAAAAATTTCATTAACTGATGTAATGTTAATATTAGATCTTACTACTCTGTTTTGTACTTGTAAAACATACTGATAGCCTTCATAATAATATAGGTGGTAAAAGAGACAAATGGTAAATTAGATTTCATCACAAGTAGAGTACTGATGTACAGTTGAGGTATCATGCACAAAACACAAAACACCATCGTGGTAATACAATTGACACTAAAATAATGCAATAAACATTAATTAAACAACATAAGATGTAACAAAACTCAAATGTACATAATTGATATCAAAAACTAACAAGAAACATACAGCAACTGTTTAAAATAACATCAAATGTAAATTTTCATGCATTGTGGGAATATCAGTTAACGTGTTTTTTTTTTTTACTGTAAATTAAAAAATGACTGTTAATTTTTACATAGACTTTTCCAAAGTCTGTACATTTAACAGTATTTTACTGTAAAATTACTTAAAATGCCCTGTTAGATCTATTACAGTTTTTCACCGTATATAGTAAAGGAATTTGCTGTTAACCAACTGACAGGTTTTTACCACAGGATTGTTAGAGTCTTTTACTATTAAAATTACAAACTTTTTTACAGTGTATACTGTATGTAATATAATACAATAATACTCCAGGTAAAATGAACAACATGCATAACTAGAGATGCAAAGAAACTTAATGTAACTTTGCTGACTACTGACTACTGGCTTAGCTGAACACACACACACACACACACACACACACACACATCAACGTTCATCCAAGCTCCAATTAGGCCGACGTCTGCCGCTTTAATTAATGCAACATATCACATCCAGCAGCGAGGGAGGGGTGACTAAATGAATTTGTGTGTTTAATTGACATGGTGAAACTGCAGGTGGTCAGTGCTGTGATGTTTTGCAGTATGGGAGCGTGTCTGCGCGCTCACAGCAAGGGACGTTCTCATGGGTTTGCTGAAGGCATAAAGTAACATGAGCGATAGATTTGGCAGCTAGTAGCCTACACTGCTTGCAAATTTTAAAAAGCATAAGGCACGTTAAGGAGTGTGCAGACTGTGCACGATTTTGTGAGCATGGGAAAGAGTAGGATGGACAAAAATAGGGATTTTTTTCAGCACCTCTTCAGCAGAATTACAGCATCCGAGTCAATGTGAGTTTTCCATTTGTATTGAATGTGAAACAGTAACAAGACATGTACCCCGAATAAGGAAAGAAATGTTTTTGTATGCGACCTGCGTACGAAAACAAACATATAACGCAACCAGTGCACCAGTGAATCAAAAACATACAGCGCGACCAGTGTGAATGATTCCTGAAATGGATGAGTCTTGTGAGTCGGTTCTTTTTAGTGAATAAAAAACGTACAGCATGACCAATGTAGCCAGATTCCTGAAATAAATGAGCTGGTTCCAATTAGTGAATTAAAAACATACAATGTGATCAGTGTAGACTGATTCCTGCAATGAATGAGTCCTTTGTAGTGAAAACATACTGAACAACCAGTGTTGACTGAAACAAATGACTCTTATGACCCAGTCCTTCGTAGTGAACCATAAACATACAGCGTGACCAGTAGAGACAGATTCCTGCAATGAAGAAGTCTTATGAAGCTGTTCTTTTTTGTGAATCAAAAACATACAGTGCAACCAGTGTACACTGATTCGTGCAGCGAATGAGCCAGTTCTTTGTAGCGATTCAAAAACATACAGCACAACCAGTGTAGCTCAAATCCAAAAATGAATGACCAGTTCTTTTAATTAATTATTTTTATGAATAAAAGACAAATGACTCATTTGAATTAGTATGTAACACTGTCCTGTCTAATTTACATTATTAGCAAAGAGAGAACTTCTTTCATGTGTATGAAATATGGGCATTATAACTTAAACCCAAATGAATTTCAATCAAACCGTGAGCTTGTGAATCGGAATCGAATAGAGAAATTTGTATCGAAACCCAGTCCAAAGAAACTGAGAAATTAAATAAAGTCATTTTTCATATACTTCGGTAATTGTGACTAGGAATTTCTATGCTGAGTGGTAATGCTTTCAGAAAGGGAGAGGGAGACAAAATGCATGTTTAGTGAAGCAAGACACAATGATTTCCAGCTGCACACAAGCAGGAAAGGAAGTAACACAGGGTTTGGATGGCTTAGCGTGTGTGTGTGTGTTTGGGGAAAGCCCACCGATGCCCTTTGACCCAGGGGAAGTGATCTGAAAGAGAGAACTTGACTTGTGGGGCCTCTAGAACAGAAGCATTGTGTCTGCCCATTGTCTCTGAACGGAGGAGGAACGGACGAGGGGAGGAGTGGAGGAAAGGAGAAACAGAATAAAGAAAGACAGGAGGCCTGTGGTACGGGCCAGAGGGGTCGGACAATGTTCTCTTTGCCCCCTGAAACAATAAAGAAACCTTTCTTTAAGGTAACAGCTTCAAAACGTGAAGGAAAAAAGGCAAAAAAATACACATTTATAGTTGTTATTCTGTTAAATTTAACAAACAAGACCTGGATGTTTGTATCCGCAGTGGACATCATCAAGACAGATGTCATTTTCTCTGCCATTTAATATGTTCACTTCTCGTCCAGTCATTTTTATCTCCTTCATTCTGTGGAATATTCTGATTGAAAGATAGAGGAAATTTTTAATAAGGTGGGGATTGTGAAAGAGAGGCGGAGCGAGAGAGAGAGAGAGAGAGAGAGAGAGAGAGAGAGAGGGAGGATAGGGGATAGATGATAACAGTGGGATTTGTTAAAGGTTGGTATCCCCCTTTCAGAGACTCATACTTTGATCCGTCAAGGTTGAAACACACACACACACACACACTCACACACACACACACACACACACACAGACACACACACAAGAGGGTCAAAACACTGGAGATCATACACTCTCTGTGTGTTCTGTGTGTGTGTGTGTGTGTGTGAGAGAGCGTTTAGGCTTTGTTGAGGTAAGTCCTGGTGTGAGGTGTATTATAGACACATGGGACCTGCACGCCATCAGCGAGTCAGAGACTAGCAGATCTTTCTTTTAAATAACCGCAGACGGCAGTAAACTGGATCTGAATTCACATTCAAATGGATCGATTTCTGTGTTCAAATGAAGGAGGAAAAGGGAGTATTTGGATAGCTGCTTTGTCTGCCTGTCATTTTATCCTTCTATCCCTCCGTATCTCTCTTTCTCTCGTCTTGTGGGGATTGCTCTGGCCTCTGACTCTAACTCCCTAGAATAACCTCTCAGAGAAAATGAATGAATTGGCTCTATATCAGGGATTTTCGTTTCTATTCTTCTTTTTTCATCCCTCTCTCTCTCTCTCTCCTTTTCTCTCCCTGTAATCATTTGAGGGCTGTAGCTTTCTCAGCTCTTATAATTGTCTCTTCAGAAACTCAACAGCCCAGTAATAACTGACTCACGCATTGCCTTAACACTCACTCAGAGAGGAGGACGCAAGTCCAGGAATATGTGTTTGTGTGCTTGAGTCTCTGTTTGTTAGTTTCCAGAAAAGTACGAGTACCCAACCTTACGATCATGATGACAAAGAGAAATAAATCACTATTATAATTTTTGTTTTGTGGCAGGAAAGCGACTGATGCTGTAGGTCATGTGACAATGCTAACTTGGCGAATGTAGTACTTTTTTTAATGATTGCGAAGTAATTTCTGCTCAGAGTGTATGCCATTTTGGATGCCGCTATAGAGTTTCAGATACCCAAAAATATGTTGTAACAAATGAGATTGAAGTGGATGACTTTATTTAAAGCAACAGTTAAGAGGGCCGTTCACCCATAGGCCGTAATTTTTTTTTTAATTTACAAAAAAAAATTTACTTTTGTTTAGATCATTATAGCTCTAAAAATATTTTTATGCTGATTTTTTTTAAGGTTATATTTTAATATTGAAACTCTGGGCCAAGGGAAAGAGTCCAGCAATAAAGTTTTGATATAAAAGCCATTTGAAAAGTAAATGAAAAAGAAAAAGTAAAAATTCTGTTGATAAAAAATAAATAAAAAAATTCAACTCCTGGGACATAAATGGGCCTGAAGTTGAAGAAGCACCCATATGTTAACTACCATGAACTAACAATAAAACTGATGAATTTACCATTTATGGTCAAAATTTTGGATGCGAAAGAGTCACTCCAATTGGAATCCGTGCCATCAGGAGTTTCTCGTGAGGGCGCAAAAAGTTCCTCATGTGGATTTTACTCATTTTCAAGTTGGTCACATGACATTGTCGCGCTTGGTTTGAAACTGACTTCTGTGTGAGCTGTGCTTTATACATTGCTACACTACTGACATCAGATAAAGCACCTTGTTTGCCTGCAAACAAGTAAAGTTTGTTTATAGTTATTTTCACTACATCTAAAACTCAAGCTTGTGCGTAATAAGCACTCTTATTCTTAAATGTCCTACAAGTTACATTGTACTTTATTGCTTCTTTATGAAATCTGTTTGAATCTCTCTCCAGCTCTACAGGATTCTCCATTGGCGAACGGCCACGCCCATTCAGGGCGGGACTTCCTGCGGAAGCAGATGCGAGGAGAACTCTTTACACCGCAGCAGCTCGAGGTATTGGACCATGTCTTTGATCGACAGCCCTATCCCGACATTTACCCCGTCCCTGACAGCAGCAGCTACAAGCCTGCCCAGGTAAGGGCTGGGGGGTAGGGGTGTGTATCCTGCCACGCTGGTTGTGCGCACCTCCTCTGAAAGCTCACGCTTGCCCTTGCCTGGCTGCCAGTATTGCTGGACCCTGTCCCAACCCTGCTGTTGACCTATGCGCCCCCACACTGAAGCTAACGCTGACCTTTCACCTCTCTGAGCTTATGCTGGGGCTTTGACCCCGCTGGTGCTGATGTCCACTCTATAGAGTTTTTGGCTGAGGTTAAGTCCCAGCACTGCGTAGAGGTTTAGGGTTAAGTAGCAAACACTTGTTCATTAGTTTGCAAAAGTTACCCACACACATGGCATAATGTTTGTATGTCCAAGTGACCACATCAGATAGATTCAGCAGTCATTATTATAAAAAAAAAAGTTAAAATGCATGATGAGGCGATGTTTCATAAATGTTCAATTTTTATTCTGTGTATATTCTAGTGAGCTTTTGGGCTTATCAGTCACTCTTCTTTTAACTGCTTAAAATAAAAAATAGAATAGAATTGAATAGAAATGAATACTTTTATTCAGCAGAGATGCATTAAATTGATCAACAGTGATAGTAAAGACATTTATAATGTTAACAAAATATATATATTTTTTAAATAAATGCTGTTCTTTTGAACTTTCTATTCATCAAATAATCATGAAAAGATGTATCATGGTTTCCACAAAAATATTAAGCAGCCAAAACTGTTTTCAACATTGATAATAAATGTTTCTTGAGCAAAAACTCTATATATTAGAATGATTTTGGAAGGGTCATTTGATGCTGAGGACTGGACTAATGGCTGCTGATCACAGAAATAAATTACATTTTAAAATTATATTAAAATACAAAACAGTTATTTGTAATAATATTTCACAGTATTACTGTATTTTTTATCAAATAAATGCAGCCTTGGTGAGCATGAGACTTCTTTTAAAAAACTTATTTTCAGAAAAATGTACCAGTAGTGTATAATTGCATCTAAACTGAACAGATACTGCACGTTCATTAAATGAAAAATAGCAGCTTTGACAGTCTGATAACAATGAAATTTTGCGTTCGATAAGAAAAAAGTCACCAAAGTTTAGAGTGATTCAAAGGAGGGTACATGACGTCAACATTTTTAGTTTAAAGCAAATGATCTGCGACTCGACTGAACTGGCCAAACTGTGAATGGAATATTTCTGCTACAGCGTTTTAGACTAACACTTTTTACTAAATCTCTTTGGCTCAAAATGGGCCCGTTTCCTCCATTCTGGTCAAAGCTAGGTTTGTGTTTGCAGTATGACTGCAGTATGGCTAGACATGCTGACATATAACAAATAACATGCAAAAGTACAGTTGTATGCACATACAGACGCATAATGTGTGATGCATAAAAATTGATCACAAGAAAAGGCAGTCAAAGACGTCACTCAAAAGTCAAATGCTATGGCCCCCACATCCATTCAGGCACACATACAAGGCCAGTGTCAGAGTTCTATAGACTTGTCTGAAAGACCCCATAATTCCTGTCCATTTCACCACTGAGCGCTGAGGCTGGCAAGGTCAAAGGCTACTGAGCAGGGCATTAACCTTAGGGTCAATCCACATCCCTTGGGTGTGTGTGAGTCAGGTTTGTTGTGGCACAAATGATCAGACAAATTGAGAGCCGGGAATTTTGAGCTGTCTGTTTTTTAGAAACGAGGGTGTGCGAGAGAGGCATATGCTAAGTGGTCTTGTGTGATTGACTGACAGGTTGTTTTCCCTCCACTGACAGTGTGAATGCTGCTGAAGGAGAGAGAAATGATGGCGAGCTCGACTCCGTTCGAGTGTGTTTGTGTCTCCTAGGGCAGGAAATGAACTTGGGACTTGATTTTGTTCTTTTCTCTGTAGCTGCTGATTAGATTAAGATTCATAAGGGCTCAATTATATACAGTGGGTATAGAAAAGAATCACCCCCCCCCCCTTTAATATAATCACATTTTGTTGCTTTGCAGCCTGAAATGAAGACGGACAGTTTTTCTTTTATTCAGCTGTGTTTACTCAGTGCAACTTAATATAAAAAATATAACACCAACATGAAAAAAACAGAATCACTGAGTTGGAAAAAGGATCAGCCCCTTGTGTCAGTATTTTGTTGAACCACCTTTTGCTTTAATTACAGCCTTTAGTCTGTAGGGATTTGTCTCTACTAACTTTGCACATCTAAACTTTGCAATATTCGCCCCTTCTTTGCTGAACTGCTCAAGTTCAGTTCAATCTGATGGTGAGCAAGCGTTTGTGGACTGTGGTCTTTAAAGGTCCCATGACATGCTGCTTTTTGGATGCTTTTATATAGGCCTAAGTGGTCCCTAGTACTGTATCTGAAGTCTCTTTCCCGAAATTCAGCCTTGGTGCAGAATTTCAGCCACTACGAGCCAGTCCCACAATGAGCTT